ATAACTATAAAATAGACCAGGGTAGAAATATTACAGCATCTACTTCAAACAGATTAAATACTTAACAGAAATTAAATTTTCAACTGCAATGACACTAATGTAATCTCTAAGGTTCTTCTTCTTCTTCTTTTTTTTTTTTTTGAGACAGAGCCTCAAGCTGTCCCCCTGGGTAGAGTGCCATGGCATCACAGCTCACAGCAACCTCCAACTCCTAGGCTCAAGTGAGTCTTCTGCCTCAGCCTCCCAAGTAGCTTAGCTGGGACCACAGGCGCCTGCCACAATGCCCGGCTATTTTTTGGTTGCAGCCATTATTTTTGTTTGGCGGGCCCGGGCTGGATTCAAACCCGCCACCTTAGGTATATATGGCTGGCCCCTTAGCCACTTGAGCCACTGGTGCCGAGCCAAGGTTCTTATTTTTTTTAGGATATAAAAGTGTAAGTTTATTTTATATAAGGGGGGGAAAAGAGATGAGAAAGAGAGATAAGGGAACAGGGAGCAGAGAGCAGAGCAAGGAGGAAGAAAGGAAAGATGAGGAAGGGGGAAGAGAAAATAAGCAGGAAACGGCATAGCCTACCAGATACAGAAAGGAAGGGTGCCAGCCCCTAAGGTTCGTTTTTGTTGTTGTTGTTTTTCAGACAGAGTCTCACTTTGTCAACCTTGGTAGAGTGCTGTGGCATCATAGCTCATGGCAACCTCAAACTCCTGGGCTCAGGTGATTCTCTTGCCTTAGCCTCCCAAGTAGCTGGGACTACAGACACCTGCCACAGTGCCCGGCTATTTCTTTTAGAGATGGGGTCTTGCTCTTGCTCAGGCTGATCTCGAACCTGTGAGCTCAATCCACTCAGCCTGGGTCTCCCAGAGTGCTAGGATTAAAGGCATGCTCGGCCTCTCTCTAAGGTTCTTAATCATCATATTCTAGAGAAACAGCACAAAGAACCAAAAAGAAAAAATTTTCATTTCCATAGTATGGATTTCAGCCCTAGTTTCTCAAACAACATATTAACCAAAAATTACAAAATGAGGTAAATTACTACTACTTTCAACTAGTTAGTCTATAAGCTACCTAAGGAACATAACACCTCATGAAAGGAAATTTATTTATGGGCAGAGCCTGTGGCTCAGTGGGTAGGACGCTGGCCCCATATATCGAGGGTGGTGGGTTTCAACCCAGCCCCAGTGAAATTGCAACAAAAAAAATAGCCGGGTGTTGTGGTGGGTGCCTGTAGTCTCAGCTACTCGGGAGGCTGAGGCAAGAGAACTGCCTAAGCCCAGGAGTCGGAGGTTGCTGTGAGCTGTGACACCAAAGCACTCTACCAAGGGCGACAAAGTTAAGACTCTGTCTCTTAAAAAAAAAGAAAAAGAAATTTTATTTATTTATTTATTTTTTGAGACAAAGTCTCAAGCTGTGGCCCTGGGTAGAGTGCCATGGTATCACAGCTCACAGCAACCTCAAACTCTTGGGCTTAAGTGATTCTCTTGCCTCAGCCTCCCAAGTAGCTGGGACTACAGGCACCCACCACGACACCCAGCTATGTTTTGGTTGTAGTTGTCATTGTCGTTTGGCAGGCCTGGGCTGGATTCAAACCTGCCAGCTATGGTGTATGTGGCTGATGCCCTAGCCACTGAGTACAGGTGCTGAGCCATGAAAGAAAATTTAAAAAGAGAAAAAAGACTCTGGGATGCCAAGCTTGTGGACTACCTGAGCTTATGAGTTCAAGACCAGCCTGAGCCAGAGTATCTACAAAAAAAAAAAAAAAAAAAAATTGCTGGGCATTGTGATGGGCACCTGTAGTCCTAGCTACTTGGGAGGCTGAGGCAAGAGAATCACTTAAGCCCAAGAATTTGATACCACAGCACTTTACCAAGGGTGACAAAGTAAAAGTCTGTCCCCAAAAAACAAAATAAATAAATAAACCCCCCAAAACAAGAGAAAAGGAAATAAAAAAGAAAAAAGTCATTGCATCAAGATACTGAAAGAAAATTTAAAAAATGAAGGAACATAATACTTCGATGTTAAATTATTCCCCCATAAAATCAGAAAAAAAAATTAGTATCAAATACATTCTCACATCATAAACCCCTAATGTAATATTACCCCTAATGCCATATTACATGAGTTGGAAATTACTTTAGCTACCAATCCACAATACTCAGAGCTCAAAATTCAAATTTCAAAGCAAACATACTAAACCATAATAAAATAATAAAACATTATAAACTATAATAAAAATAACAAAAACACATACAGCACCTTTATGATCGTTCTTCTCCTGTACAGAAAAAGTAATAGTTTTGTAATTCTCACTCCAGGCCCACCACACACACACACAAAATTTGGAGTAAAGATAACTTTGTCTTTCAATTCTCTGGTTTATATAGGGGATGAATGCTCAGTTTTGGTCTAAGATTATTAGTTTCTGCTATTTTTGTTTTAAGAGGTGGGATCAGATTGGAGTGCAAAGCCACAATCATAGCTCATGAGAGCCTCAAACTCCTGGACTCAAGCGATCCTCCTGCCTTACTCTCCAGAGTTCCAGGGATTACAGGTGTGAGCCACCTCACCCAGCTTAATTTTTTTTTTTTGGCCGGGGCTGGGTTTGAACCTGCCAATGGGGCCGGTGCCCTACTCCTTTGAGCCACAGGCGCCACCCATTAATTTTTATTTTCTAATACAACACAATGATCTTTCAATTATTACTAGTTTAATAATCCTGTTTTGAAATTACCACAAAGATTAAAGAAGGGAAGAAAAAAGAAATTTCCAGGCAGCACCTGTGGCTCAGTGAGTAGGGTGCCGGGCTCATATACCAAAGGTAGTGGGTTTGAACCTAGCCCTAGCCACAATGCAACAATAAAATTGCCGGGCATTGTGGCAGGTGCCTATAGTTCCAGCTGCTTGGGAGGCTGAGATAAGAGAATCACCTAAGACCAAGAGCTAGAGGTTGCTGTGAACTGTGACGCCACAGCACTCTACCAAGGGCAACAAAATGAGACTCTGTCTCTAAAAAAAAAGAAAAAAGAAAGAAAAAAGAAATTTCCTCTCCCAAATGGAACTAAATACTAAATAATGAAATATTTCACTATTACTTCCTCTGACCAAATCTGTTTTTTGTTTGTTTGTTTTGAGACAAGAGTTCTACTTTGTTGCTCTGGATAGAGTACCATAGTGACATAACTCACAGTAAACTCAAACACTTGGGCTTGAGCAATCCTCTTGGTTTAGTCTCCCAAGTAGCTGGAACTACAGGTGTGTGCCACTACACCTGGCTAGTTTTTTTCTATTTTCAGTAGAGACAGGGTCTCATTCTTGCTCAGGCTGGTCTCAAACTCCTGAGTTCAAGCAATCCACCCACCTTGGCCTCCCAGAGCACTAGGATTGTAGGCATGAGCCACTGTGCCCAACCCTGTCATTTTGTTATAGGGACAAAAACTAAGTCGTAAGAATTCAAAGAGTTGTTCTATTCATGTCAAGAGAATCTGCTTCTTTAATGGCTTGAAATATCTAAATCTGCTCCTAGCTATAATACATAACACAAGTCCTACTCAACAATTTGCTATGAGGTGAAGGCAAATGATCATGTAGATGCCTAAATTTTTGCAGAGGTCATTTTAATACATTCTCCTTCCTTTGAGAAAAATCTTTACTTTGATTTCTATAATGGAAACCAATCACTTCTCCATTGGTTCAGGGGCCTCATGGTCCCTAAACTTTAGTGTGAATAGGAATCATCTGGGGATTTAGTTGAACTATGGGCTATTATCAGAAGTTTTGGGTTGCATGCCAAGTGAGTTCTCTGCAGACAGTGGTGCTAATATTTGATGGCCTACACCTTCATCACTAGGACTCCAAGGAAGATATCCAAATGAAATAGTCTCAATCAGATGTTTATTTTCAAAATATACATCTTATGCCAGGCATCCTCAAACTACAGCCCGCGGGCCACATGGAGCCCGCCTAGGACATTTATCCGGCCCGCCAGGTGTTTTTGCCGCCGCTGCCTGTCCTGCTTCGCAGCCGACTTGTCCCAGGGCCCACAGTCCGGCCCTCTAACGGTCTGAGGGACAGTGAACTGGCCCCCTGTTTTAAAAGTTTGAGGACCCCTGTCCTATGCCAAGAGTTTATAAAGGGAGATAATATTCTAGACTTTTATGATTTTTGCCATCCGGTTGCAAACCCAAACTAAGACCTTAATAAAGAGCAACTTTTTAAGAATGTCTTTTGTGCTGAGAATTTATTGGGGCTTGACTGATTAGTGCAGCGGTTCTCAACCTGTGGTTCATGACCCCTTTGTAACAATGAAAATACATCCTGCATACTAGATATTTACATTATGATTCATAACAGTAGCAAAATCACAGTTATGAAGTAGCAATGAAAATAATTTTATGGCTCAGCGCCTGTGGCTCAAGTGGCTAAGGCGCCAGCCACATGCACCTAAGGTGGTGGGTTTGAATCCCCAGCCTGGGCCCGCCAAACAACAATGATTGCTGCAACCAAAAAATGGCCAGGCGTTGTGGCGGGCGCCTGTAGTCCCAGCTACTTGGGAGGCTGAGACAGGAGACTCGTTTGAGCCCAGGAGTTGGAGGTTGCTGTGAGCTTGATGCCATGGCACTCACCCGGCTATTTTCTTGTTGCAGTTGTCATTGCTGTTTAGCTGGCCGGAGCTGGGCTCGAACCCGCCAGTGGTGGGTGCATGTGGCTGGTGCCATAACCACTGTGCTATCGGCACCGAGCCTGAGATTAATAATTTTCATTTCCTCACAAAATAAATATCTCTATACTAAAAAATACTCCTCTCCTTAAGCAGGAGAAAAAAAGCTCAACAACAAAAAAAAGTCATACCCATGGCCCAGTCATAATATTATCTTTAGTGAGGAAAATACCAAGATTAAGACATACAAAAATATCTGAGGAGAATTACATTATTAAATTTGTCCTAAAACCTGGGGAAGAGAACAGCTGGTATACTGAAGAAAAAATTTAGAAAAGATTACACACAAGAGCAAAATAGTCCATTCCCCTAAGAAAACCAATAAACTGCCACAAACTTTCATACTTCCATTTTTAGGTTTTCAATAATGTTTTCTTAGTCCATCCATCACCCCAAACTCCAACCAGCCATCATAAAAACTAAGGTGGCAACAGGTACAACTGGCCATACGCCCTGTTTACCCCTGGATGCCTTCCACGCCAATGAGGGTAGAATTTGTGGTGGAAGGAGCCAGAGTAAAAGGAAAATTGCTTCTCTCCACTCAGAAGGAAACTCCCCATCTCGAGCGTCTTCCACACTCCTCCCTGGAAGGCGTCTCAGTGCTTGCCCGCACTCTTCAGCCCCATAATTGTGAAGGTAGCCGCTGTCAGTTTCTCATAAACAAGGAACATGAGAGCAGCAGTGAGTACTGTCTGCAGCAGTTTGGCTTCAAGGCCTTTGTAGAGTCCCATTATTCCAAAGCGCCTAAAAGAAAAGAGGTTTGAAAAGACAAAAGTTTTCTTTATAAAAGTGAACTCCTTCATCACAGAAATATGCTACCTAGGATAGGAAGCATTTGCTGTATCAAAACAAGCAATGAAGGCTTTCAATTTTAACAGGCTTCTGTTGTCAAAGAACTTATCTTTAAAGGTACCTGGGGACAGACTTTGTCTTTATAGTCACCATTAATAATCAGAAAGTTGACAACTTCCCATGGATAAGATGCAGATCCTAAAATCTCTTAACACCACCGTAATGCCAAAAGCTGAGATCTAAGAACATTTATATCTTCATGTTAATGCTGTCTCAACTCAGTTGTTTCCACTGAATGGTTCCTAACTGGCAGCAAAACTGCCAACAGGTTTATATCATTTTAGTCTCAAGGGCACTAGAGAAAGAGACAGAAATAAAAAACTACTGGATTTTCAGAATTACCATACATTTGATCCTCTGACCCAGAGATTCTCAAATTTAGCACGCATTTCAATCACCTGAAGGCTTGTTAAAACATGGATTGCTGGCTTGGTGCCTGTGGCTCAAGTGGCTAAGGTGCCAGCCACATACACCTAAGGTGGTGGGTTCGAATCCAGCCCAGACCCGCCAAAACAACAAT